AAGGAAGATGTTATGAACATTTTAGACTGGAAAACCAAACAAAACATTGTTGAAGTGCCCTTTTTCCCTGCCCGTGTTCTTCTTCAAGATTTTACGTGAGTCATTGGTTCATTTTATGTGAATGAATTTTTAGAATGTTCCCTTTTAAAATTCAGATTTCCTGATGTATGGATTTATTTTTAATTATGAAGTTTATAAAAGTTTCCCTTTCCAAGCTGAAGCCAATGTAATAAAAATCAGGCACATATTTCTCATGCCATTTATTCCAAAACTGCTTTTCCTTAACTACCTGCTTGTCATCTCTATGTAGCTAGTAGGTTTCTCAAACTTAACATATCTAGAACTTGATTTCTTGACTGTCCATATCACCTATCCCTTTCTACGTCTTCTCTCTTGTAGTAAATGCTACCATAGACTCCCAGTTTTTTTAGGCTTCTAATCTAGGATTAGCTCTGATTCCTCTCCTTCCTTGCACCCTATCACYAGTCTTGTCAGCAAATTCTGTCATTGCTACCTTTAAAATATATCCTGTGTCCAAATATTTTCTACCTATCCATCACTGTTATCCTGGTTCTAGCCCCATTTTCTTTTACCTGGACTACTATACAGTAGTCTCTTATCTGGTATACTTGCCCCCACACTTGCAGCCTATAGTTGGTTCTTTACATGGTATATGGAGTGACTTCATTAAAAATGTTAATCAGGTTATGTCATTCCTCCAGGTACCACTTGATTTCCATCACACTTAGAATAAAATCTGATGTCTTTAGCCTGAAAGACCTTGCATGGTCTGAGGTGTCCCAAGAATTATTTATTGGAATAATGTTCCTGGAGCTAAATTTCAAAGGGGCCTAGGATTTTGCTAGAACATCCCCTTTGCCCACCCACCTAAYACCTACGTCTGATCTGTGTTACCTCACATATGCTTCTATTCTGTAATCATTGCTTTATCTTCCCTATTAATTCTTTAAGAGCCAAAACTATTATTTGACCTCATTCTCATGATATCTATTACAGTGAAGGCATTTAGTACATGCTTGTTACATAGTTGCCTGGATATTATGGATGGATGAATATAAGCAAAACTTATTGGGGGGGGCAGTTATTGTGGATAGCTTTGAGATTATAAGAGGGAACCATAGGACAAAGGGGCTAGAGCCAGGGAAAAGGGAGGGGCTGTCAAAAAATTGGAGGAAGAAAAGAATTCCACAGGCACCTCCAAAAATCATCTCTTATTTTTGCCTCTTTTGTCCCTAAGCACTCAAGTTCTCAGATAATAATGTTAATTCTCATTAAACCATGGGACAGCTAAATTGGATAATGAGTTTATTTTCAAAAATAAATACTAATAAAGGATACTTTTTAAAAATAAAAATGAATAAGTACATGTTAATTATTATTAAACATTTTATTTAAAAATTAGAATTGTAATTTGATCATTCTTCTTTTTTTTTTTTTTTTTTAAAGTGGAATACCGGCAATGGTGGATTTTGCTGCTATGAGGGAGGCAGTGAAAACTCTTGGAGGTGATCCTAAAAAAGTCCATCCTGCCTGTCCRACAGATCTCACAGTTGACCATTCTTTACAAATTGACTTCAGTAAATGTGCAATACAGAATGCGCCAAATCCTGGAGGTGGTGACCTACAGAAAATAGGAAAGCTTTCTCCACTTAAAGTGCAGCCTAAGAAGCTTCCCTGCAGAGGCCAGACTACCTGCCGAGGATCCTGCGATTCTGGAGAACTAGGCCGAAACTCAGGAACATTTTCTTCACAGATTGAGAATACACCCATCCTATGTCCTTTTCATTTGCAACCAGTGCCTGAGTATGAGAATGTTTTTGTTAATATTTATTACTGCCAGTTAATTTTTATTAACAATAATAAATATTGTTAATATTTTTTAGTGCTAGATATTTTTCAGTTAAARAAATCACTTTTATTTTCCCACCCAATTGCTATTATATTGTGTCTGCATTTATGTGCTRTATTTCATTTCTATTGTACTGAAAGAAGCAAAGTTTAAATTAAATTGTTAGTCTCTAGCTGGGTGTGGTAGTGCATTCCTGTAATCCCAGTGACTAGGGAGGCTGAGGCAGGAGGATTGCAAGTTCAAGGAGTTTAAATAATTTTGTAAGACCCTTGATAACTTAGCAAGACCCTGTCTCAAAATAAAAAATAAAAGCCAGGTGTGGTGGCCCATGCCTGTCATCCCACTGGCTCAGGAGGTTGAGACAGGAGGTCACAAGTTTGAAGCCGACTTAACAATTTAGTGAGGGCCTAAAGCAACATAAACCCTGTCTCTAAATAAAATATAAAAAAGGGCTGGGGATATGATGCTCAGTGATTAAGTGCCCCTGGGTCCAATCCTGAGTAACCTTCATCCCTCACCCCCCACCCCATCAAAAAAAAATGTTTTTTTCCTGTCCTGGGGATTGAACCTAGGGTCCTACAGTATACAAGCATTCTACTACTGAGCTATATCCTCAACCCAGGAAGTGACTCCTCAGAAGGTTGAGACAGGAGGTCACAAATTTGAAGCCAAATTGAGCAATTTAGTCAGGGCCAAAAGCAACTTAGATCCTATCTCTAAATAAAATATAAAAAAGGGCTGGGAATGTGGCTCGGTGGTTAAGCGTCCCTGGGTTCAATCACCAGTACCAATAATAATAATAATAATAAGATTCAGCCATTTAGCCATGAATTTGTGTGTGTGTGTGCACGTTCGAGTGCTAGAAATTAGATAGGGAAATGCTCTACCACTGAGCTATATCCCCAGCCCTATGTATCACTTTTCTGACTAATGTAGATAGAAAATGGGATCTCATTTTAAATTGAATTTCTTGTATTAATGAATTTGTACCATTGATATGTTCATTCATCATTCGTATCTTTTTTAGAATCCTCTATATTTAGCTCCTCCCCCCCCACAGAGGATTTCAGGGTTTTTTTTTCATGCTGCATCCAGAGTTTTATATTAGAATATGACTATTATCACATATGTTATAAACCTAATGAGCTCTTTTAGGGAAATATTTTCCTGTATGGTATCATTGAAAGTAGTAAACATGCCTAGAAAAGAATCCTGTTCTTAGGATTTAGTTAGTTTCCTAATAATTTTTCAAAATAAGAAGTTCTTTGAGTTGAATTTTTATGTACTAAAAAGTTTCCAAATTTTTATTCTTAGTTTTAAGAGAGTTCTACTGTTTATCCCATTATTAATAGGCTATCAGAATTTTTTTAATTTAGTAAAAAATTATAYTTCCTGTTTTAAAAAAAATAACATTTAGAATAACTAAGAAAAATGTCCACTCACACATATTTTGAGTGCCAAATAATATATTAGTTTGTTTGCCCCTCAATTGGATTCTTCAAGTTCTATCCAGTTCAAAAATTTTGGGTTCAACATTTTTATAAAGCCTCAGGTTACAGTAATTTCATGTGCTCTTCCTAAGAAGTCACCATAATCTATGAGTCCTTCCCTGTGAAATTATGGTAGTTTTATGTAATCACTCTTTATTCCTGCTACTTACTTGCCCTGATTGTTAAAATCATGTTGACTTTTAAGATTAATGCCAGGGCTGGCGTGTGGCTCAGGGGTAGAGCACTTGCCTAGCCCATGTGAGGCCCTGGGTTTGATCTTCAGCACTTCATAAAAATAAATAAAAAGGTATTGTATCCATCTACAACTTAAAAAAAAAAAAAGATTAATGCTACATATATAGAAGTTAACTTTCTGAAAAGGAAGATTTATTGATTCAAAATCATTGGTTTTTTGTTTGTTTTGTTGGTGCCAGGGATTGAACCCAGGCTCTGATGCATATTAGGCAAGCATTCTGCTACTGAGCTATATCCCCAGACCTTACTAAAAATCTAACCAGGTGTATCATTTTMCCTCAATTTTGACTCTAAATTGCAAAGTATTATATAGTAGTGGCTGGGTGTGTGGAAATAGTAACTCTTTTGTGTTTTTTTATGCATCAGTGAAGTATTAATTATAGGTTCAACTAAGAAATTGAAGGGTAAAGGTGAGAATTTAACATTTAGCACTTGAAACCACTTGTCAGTTTGAATTGAGGTTACGAGCTAATAAATGTTTTTATGGCACTTTGTTCCATAGTGCTGTGGAAAGGTGAAATACTTGGAGTAGCCCTAGAAAGCTGTGTTCCCCGAGGTCCTAAGAAATATCTTAAGATGTAGTGTAGTTTCAAGTGATCACTCAGCCATGAATTATTAAAATAATCTTTGCAAAAAAAAAGTTGACAATTATGGGGCTGGGGTTGTGGCTTAGCGATAGAGAGTTCACCTAGCATGTGCTTACAAATGGAGTAAGGGTATTATGCCCAACTGTAACTTAAAAAAATACATGTTAAAAAAAAAAAGTTGACAATTAAACAACTCTTTATCATCTGGATCCTGGAGGACATGTATACTTTAAATTATATTGGTATTCTAGTTAACAATTAGCAGCTGATGATCAAAATAAGCAAAGCAGCTTGAAATCTTCTAAAAAATCTATTAGATAAAAATACTTTGCTAAACATTACTACAGTTACTCAGAGGTAATTTTTTTGTCTTTTAGTTTAAATAACTTGTGTAAACTATATTTATAATACATGTACATTAAATTGCKACTGAAGAATAGAGCCTTTCATTTTGGATGAGATGAATAAAAGGTTTTTTCTGAAAGCTCTATTTTAAACTATGAAATGATGTTCAGGTGTTGTCATTGTCAACATTTATCTCACCATTTAACTGGCACTGAGCCAGGTAGGTGAGAATGTTTGTGTTTATTGTTGAGTAAGCTGCTACCCTTCTGTTTGCATTGGAAACCCAACAGTACTTACTGTTATATTTTTATTATGATCTAGACAAGTCTCTCATAATACTGTATTTTAAGTATAGTTTTAAACACTTGACTCCTTTCTATAGCTGTCTAGTGTGTTAATTTCTTTGTTAAAGAAATTTTGAGAAGTYTAGTAAGTGGTTCTTCCATGGGTAATTTTTAATGTTTGCATAAGTATGCATAAGAATAAAGACTTAGAAACAAAGTAACTCTTTCTTATAATATATGCACCTAATACCAGCTTTTCTTGCTTTTAGACCTGAAACAGTATTTAAAAATCAAGAAGTAGAATTTGGCAGAAATCGAGAGAGGCTTCAGTTTTTCAAGGTATAAATGATTTGAAGAAGTTTTTGTGTTGACATTTATAAAATATTGATAAGTACAATTTTTATATGTGGACAAGTGGTTTTAAAAGATTTTTATGATACTAGAACTGTTTTGTTCCTACCAAAACAATAAAATTGTAAAATCCTATTGGATACCCCAGTATATTAAAAAGAAGATGAAGCACTGGCTTGGGATTCCTTGTATATACCTTGGGCCTTCCCAAACTCTTTTCCCTAAAATCTTTGGAACACAGTTAAATACTACTACATATCTGGAATATTTGAACATTTTCTTTGACTTAATTTGGTTTTAATAATTTACAAAATGAATGTGTTTAGGTTCAGATTTTGCATTTTTTTAATATGTACTGTAAACTTTGAATTGGCCTTTTGAATATTGGTGAGCATATTTAAGTATCTATTTATATCTTGATTATGAATATAAGCTCATATGATATACTAATATTTGTATTTCTTGAATCTAAACAAAACATAGTGGAGTTCAAGAGTTTTTAAGAATGTGGCTGTCATCCCTCCTGGAACTGGAATGGCTCATCAAGTAAACTTAGAATATTTGTCGAGAGTGGTATTTGAAGAAAAGGATCTGCTTTTCCCAGACAGTGTAGTTGGCACAGATTCTCATATAACCATGGTGAATGGTTTGGGGATTCTTGGGTGGGGAGTTGGAGGCATTGAAACAGAAGCCGTTATGCTTGGTTTGCCTGTTTCTCTTACTTTACCCGAGGTGGTTGGATGTGAGTTAACTGGATCATCCAACCCTTTTGTTACATCCATAGATGTTGTTCTTGGCATTACAAAGGTAAGTTAGAGTTGTATGTAGCACCTTTATGACTTAGGGGACTTTATTTTTTCATAAGTGGAGGAGTCCCACAAGACCAGAGATTTTGGTTAATCCCTCTAACCTTAGATTTTACATTATTAACCACATCATGGTAGTTGTCATTATAGTAATAAAAACAGACATGTAACATTTAATTTGTAGTAGTAAGTACAAAAAATAGTCATTATTTATTTGACATACTATCTCATTTAGTCCTCATTATAAGACCAGGAAATAAATATGTTTTTATTTTAAATAAATACTATTTTTATTATAAAGATTAACTCATTAATAATACAGATTAATGAGTTTCCTTGTGACATTTCATACATGTATATTATCATACTTAATCATATTCACCCTCCCTTTTCCTCCCCTTTCTTCCTTTCTTCATCTACTAGTTGTTGAGATAGGTACTGTTATATCATCTTAATTTGAGAAAACTAAGACACATGAAGCTCACTTAACAAAGGTTCCTAAGGCCAAAAGGGTTAAGTAGTAGAACAAGAATTCTGATCCAGGCAATCGAGTTCTCCAGTCCATGCTCTCAACCATTATTAATTATTGCCTCAATTAAATACTTCTTGACTACATGAATTTTTAAAATATCATATTTAGGAAAAGTCTGTATCCCCTTAATATTTAATTGAATTATTTACCCTTCAGAAACCATTACTTTACTAGGTAATGTTTTCAAAAATAAGTCCTGTTACTGGGCTGGTGATATAGTCCTGAAATCCCACCATCTCAGGAGGCTGAGGCAAAAGAATACTAAGTTTGAGGCCAGCCTCAGCAATTTAACAATAATATGTCTCAAAATAAAAAACAAAAAGACTGGAGATGTAGCTCAGTGGTAAAGTGCCCCTGGGTTCAATTCTTAGTAACCAAAGAAACTGGTTACTAAGAAACTGTTTCTCTGAGCTTTTAAAATATTAGATGCATGATGCTTAAGAGTTTTAGTAAATAASAAGTTGTAATTCTTCGACCTAAATTTCTAGTTTTCACTAACTTATTAAGTCCCATTTTTAAAAAGTGATTACACCTGGAAAATGTTCCACATAAAATTCTAATATGGATCCCAGCTTCTTAGCATTTCTGGTTAAATTATTGAAGACTTTCAGGAAGCTCCACAGGGTGAGGAGATGATAATGCCTTCCTCTCAACATTTGGTATTGATCCTTCTTCTCTAATTAGGGAAAAAAAAAAATTGGCATCTTAAGGAAATGATTGATTCAGTGTAGGGTACCAAAGATCAAGATGTTAAATTGAGAATTGAAGGATTATTCCTAAAAGAAAAAAGGAAAATCTTACTTTTAGAGAAATTAATTCTTCAGATATCTTGAAAATTAATGTTGTTTTTAGACCATCCTCTGGCTGTTTTTTTTCCTTAACAATATTATTATCTGTGTGTTTGACATTTTAGCTTATTGTTAGAGAAATTTAATCTACTTTAATTTTTTGATAAACATTTTTTGATGTATTATATAGAATTTGTTAAGCTGGGATCCATATTAGAATTTTATGTGGAACATTTTCCAGGTGTAATCACTTTTAAAAAATGGGACTTAATAAGTTAGTGAAAACTAGAAATTTAGGTCGAAGAATTACAACTTCTTATTTACTAAAACTCTTAAGCATCATGCATCCAATATTTTAAAAGCTCAGAGAAACAGTTTCTATACAATACATCAAAAAATGTAAATTTAATGTAAAATTTAAATTTAATCTATTTAATCTGTGTATGTTTACATTTATTGAATGTTATTTCTCTTTTTAGGTTCTGTTTTATTCATGATCTTTATAGAATTAATCATATCTATTTTCTAAAATACATATTGTAATACCTAATTAATTTGACAAAGATAGGATTTGCCTTAGTATCTCTCTCTCATCAGTATTTCACTTAGACGTATAACAATGAATACAGAGGAACATCTTTCTTTGAGGGAGGTTTTTGTTTTGTTTTGTTTTGTTTTTAAAGGCTCCCACCATACAGGAAGAGCTCCAAGGGAGGGAACTCTGGCTGTTCTTTGTTTTTTGTTGTTGTT